ACATGAGACACACCTAAGGGAGCAGGACCCTGTGGGGGGAGGGTGTCTACTCGGGGGGGGGACTGGTACCAGGAAGAGGGGCGGCGGGGGGACCGGGTGGAGTGCGTGCGGGTGGAGCCGGTAGTAGCAGACCGACTCGTCAAAGGTGACGTCCTGGGAGGACAGAATTTGACGCGAGGCAGGGTGATAAAACTGCCAGGGCGGGGCATCGTTGGGGAAGCCAAGCAAGACGCAACGGAGAGTGCGAGGAGGGAGCTTACTCGCGGTGGTATCGCGGACAAGGGAGAGCGCGCCCCAGACCTGAATCGTCGACGCATCGCCAACCTTCCCCGTCCAACGGAGTGTGGGGGGGGTCTCTGGCAAAGAGACACAGGGCCAGAGGTTGAGCTGATGCGCGGCGTATCGGACCGCACAGAAAATGGGGAGTAGCCGCATGGATCATGGAGGTACGAGCAACCTCCATGATCAAGCCAATGCGACGCTCAGCAATCCCATTTTGCTGCGGAGAGGCCGGAAGCGTGAACGACTGGACGATGCCCTCTGCTCGACAAAACTCCTCAAGGAGGTCGGAAGAGAACTCACTGCCCTTGTCAGAGTGCAGACGTAGGAATGGAAGGTCCCGCCGAAACCGCTCGCGCAGCTGGTGACGAGTAGCACGGATCCAGGGGATCAAAACACTGCTGACGGCCGCCTTGCTGCGCAAGGGGAAGACCGTGGTGTAGCGCAAGTAGTCGTCAACGACCAGCAGGAAGTAGCGCTCCCGGTCCGTACCACGGACGCGGGCGTGGCCCCACACGTCCATGTGGAGAGTCTGCAGAGGAGCAGTGGTCGGAGGAAACGAGGAGGAGTGAGGAGCAGCGCGCTGCCGCCCCTCGACGCAGGCAAGGCACGGCGGGGCAGGCGAGCGCGGGAGGGGGGGCACGGACCTGGGAAGACCAGAGACAAGGAGACAAGAGTGCATGCTGCGCAGATGCTGCTGGGAGGGGTGGCCTAGAAGGTGGTGCCAAAGCTGAGCTGGCTGCGTGAGTAGCCGACACGAGCAAGAAGCAGCTAACTGAGCTGACGCATCCACCTGACCTGACGCAGCCACCTGACCGGACTCAGCCACCTGTGCAGACGCAGTGGTCGGCGTGTACAGACTAGACCCATGCTGCCGAGTGAACGTAGAAAGGTGACGGCCAGTCCGTGAACACGTACAGATCACCACACGCTGCCCTCCAGGAGTAAAGGTATCAACCCATACATCCTGAAGGGCTGCGTTGCTCACCAAGTTCGTCGAGAACGAAGGGAGGTGGAGACCGGAAAGAGAGCCGGAGGGGACTGCCGGACAGGAGAGGACAGTGGAGGCTCGTGCGACTACTGGGCCCCCTGAGGGGTCAGCCAGTGAGACTGGGACCGGTGCGGCAAGAGGTGTGACTGTGGTGCAGTCACGAAAGAAGCAACGAGACGCGCCTGGGTCAAGTGTGAAAGTGTGCAGGGCCTCAGCTGAGGCAGCAGACTCACTAGCAGTAGACTCACTAGTACATGTGGTAGCAGACGCGCTAGCACCTAGAGCGGCAGCAGACTCACTAGCACCTAAAGCAGCAGCATCGACACCAGCATCGCAAGGCACACACGAGTAACACGCACCCTCAACACTAATTTCAGCAACATACATAGCATAGATAGCAGCATTGATCTTGGCATAGTCAAGAGCATACACATCTACTCCCATCCCGATCAGCTGCAGCCAGTTGGGCACAACCTGCTCTTCACTGTACTCAGCCACCCAGGCATCCTCGAGACGGCCGAAGCACTTATACTCAGTGTGCCCCTTTCCGCAGGTCTGACCCTTCTTGAAACCCGTTCGCCTGACATACGGGCAGCGACCACAGCCCCCAGAGGAACCACGCTGGAGAACCCACTCACGAAGCTGCTGGTCGGTGGGGTTGTCCGGGAGGCGCGGCAGCTTCTGTCCACTCCCATAGCCTCCACCACCACGTGGAGAGCCGCCATAGCCACCACCCCTGCCAGCTCCACCCCGACCTCCTCCACCGCCCCCGCCGCCTCCACCACCCCCGCCGCCTCCACCACCCCGTCCGCCTCCACAGCCTCCACCTCCAGAGCCACCCCCACCGCCTCCGCCCCCTCCACCACCACCCCCGCTACCACCACCGCTAGTGCCGCCCCCTTCACCCTTACCCCCTTTGCCCTTGCTGTTGTTGCGCCTCCCACTAGCAGCAGACGCAGTGCCAACTTCCTCAGCACCAAGGAGGTCGACAGCAACAGCAGTAGCAACTGATGGAATGAGAGGGGAGGAAGCACACCCTTCAAAGAAGGAGGAGCGGGGAGTGCCGCGAGAGGCAGCGACAGCGACAGTACTGGTCTCAGCCTCGAGAAGGGACTTCTCCAGCGAGGCAAGAGTGAGCTCCGTGGGGTCAAGGGCGAGGAAGTGGTCCCTAACAGTACGGAGGGAGTCAGGGAGGCGTGTGACGAGGAAGTACAGGGTGATATACAGCGGGGGGGGGGGGGGGGGGGTTCGTAGTGAGAAAGGCAGGCTTGAGAGCGGCGCGGTAGCGAGTCTCACTAGTGCGAAGGTGGATCATGAGGTCAGAAACAGTGTGGAAATCAGCTAGCTCAGGAAAGAGGTACGGCAACATGAGACGGCCTAGGGCAGCAGTAGCAGGGGAGGAGTAACGAGCGACAACAGCGTCATAGAGGGCTTTGGCTGTCTTCTACTAGCTAAAATGTGCCCTCTCAGCTACCGGAAGGTGGTTGCGGACAGCAAGGCGGGCAATAGCGTCACGAATGAGCCACTTCGAATGATCTGCTACCTCTGTGTCAGCTGGGGCTAGGAGGGATCCTGACGTATGCGCGAAAGGTGAAATGCCATCTAACCTCGCTCTGCAGGTAAAGCTAGAGATCATCGAGCCAAACATCAATGCTAATCGCGCGACCCTCCGCATCGAAGCTAAGAACCGAGACGGTAGCCATAGTAGCAGGAGAAGAGGTAGCAGCAGTAGCAGCAGTAGCAGAAGGTGCAGTAACTGTAGCAGTAGCAGCAGCAGTAGTAGCAGCAGCATGGCAGTGCTGCTCAGTAGGGGCAGGGCAGCGCGGCTCGGGCAGGGCGACGCGGCTCGGGCTGGGCGGCGCGGCTCGGCAAGGCGGTGCGGTTCGGGCTGGGCAGAGTGCAGCCGCAGTAGCGCTTGCAGGAGCAATAGCAGTAGCAGCGCGCTTAGTAGCAGTAGCAGCGCTTAGCAGCAGCAGCAGCGCTTGGCAGCAGCAGCAGCGCATGCAGCAGTAGGAGCTGCGCAAGTGGCAGCAGCAGCAGCACGAACAGGCCGAGCGCAAGGGTGCGCGCGGGGTGCGCGTGGGGTGCGCGCGGGGAGCGCGTAGGGTGCGCGTGGGGTGCGCGCGCACTGCGCGTGGGATGCGCGCGGGCTGCGCGTAGGTCGGGCGCAGGTTGCAGGCGGGCAGCGCGAGCAGCGCGCTAAGCCGCAGGGGCGCACAGAGTGCGCGCGCGGGGTGCGCGTAGGCAGCGCGCAGGCCGGGCGCAGGCGGCGGGCTGGCAGCAGCGACAGCGCGCAGGCCAGCAGGTGCGCGGGTAGGAGGGACGCGCGACAGTACACAGCAGCGCGCGGGCAGGGAAGGCAGCGCGCGTGACAGCAGGGCAGTGCGCGTGACAGCTGGACAGAACAGCGCTAAGGCGATTTGGGCACGAACGAGCGGAACGATTCGGTGGCCCTAAGAAAAAACCTAGCAGGTTTCCTGCTCTGAAACCATGTCAGAATGAACTGTGCAGGAATGATTGCATTGAGCAGCAGGATGAGTACAAGTATGAAACCTTAAAGGGGTGTACTCACTAGAGTTTGCCCCACTACAACATAGAACATACAAATATAATTTGACACCTCATTCCATCCATACTCCCCACAAGGCCTCTGGATTGCAGGGCGTTTTACCTTGTTTAGCCTGTTTTTCAGAGCGAGTTTTGGCCACCACACAGCTAAAACAACATTCGTCGCATGTGCCACCCTGCCCAGCGCTGTGAAATTCAGCCTGCTTTATTGGTTAACCATACTGTGAAACCATGCCTTGTCGGAGCTCGATTCTAGAAGCACCCTGCTGAAAATCTTGACTGATCTGCTGGAGCGTTGCAAAGTCCCTACACTCACGTGAAATGCTGAACTGCCAGTTGGAAAACTCACCAAGTCACTTTGAGATCGGTAAAGAATTTTAATTTAAGAGAGACAGAGGGAGAGGCAGCGAGGGGCACAGGGGTCAAAGGGAGTGATCATAGACAAGGAAGCTGAATGTGGCACAATAACTACGAGTTACTGAATACAAACCTATGTCGGAGACTTCAGTCGTTGCTCCTAACAAAGAGCAGTAGTGAGGTGACCTTGCCCCCTCAGCTTCTCTTTCTTTAGACACACTCCCTTGCCAAGGCGTTTCTCGACGCTTCATCTAAACATAAGTAAATTACCCGGGGTGTTCTCAAAGAATATACACCGCCACCTCTGATATTGGGATCGGAACACCAGTGGAAGGTCCCCTAAAATGAATCAAGAGTCTTGGCTGCCATCCATCCATTCTTCAGTTACTGGTATCACTTGAGGCAGGCGAAAAGTCATATGGACCCCATTTTTGCTGTGGCGAAGCTGGCGAGGTAGGCGAAAAGCCCCTGCTGGGTTCACTCCATCCGATAAGGGGAAGGCCTCGTGCGTCTAACGAGCGCCCAGTAGGGCGTGGATAAGTTTGGCGTTTTGGTTAGATTCCCTTGCCGGCTCATATTTGTCAGTGCGGCCCTGAGCTACTCACTCACCTCGCCCTGCCCGTCATGAGCACACATACGTGCAACCTGGCGAAAGTCAGCCCGATCCGCGGTCCCTCCCTCGTTTCGAGTCGGACTCACCATCTGCTTTTCTGTTCAAATGTGATAGTAGTTTCTGTTTGCCGCCTGCTGCTGAGCTGACCAGCGCCGAGGGGGTCAGCTCTTACCACTCGCCATCATGGCCTCTATGCTGGCGAAGTATTCGAGTGCCGGCTTCATTGCGAAGCTTCTCACGGCGCTGCTGGGGGCGAGTCTTCTGCTGCCGTCTAGTACTACCAATGCAGCGACGGCGTACCCCAACTGTCCGCTGACCGGCAAGCCACCCACGAAGCCGACAGTGCCTCCCACGCGGTGTGTGGGAGCATCCAACCTGTCGTGCTGCCCCGACGCTTGCGCCGACCTTAACTTCGCCGTTCAGGCGCTCGCCGTTAACGTATCCGCCGCGCTGTGGCCCAGTATGGGGGGTTTCGCCGAGATCTCCCCTGGGGACTTGCCGGCTAGCGTGAGTGGTCGCGCAATGATAAGGGAATCGATAGATCAATGTAAACGAAGCATCAAAGCCGCGTGCCTGCATGCATTTTGGTCAGCGTTCGTTTACACGCTGCACCTGCTCTGGGAAAGGAACCAAGCAGTCTTGTCTTGTGCGTGCATGTGTGCGTGCTCGCGTGCGTTTCGTGCGTGCAGATCGGTACTTTCATGAAGGGTCATGAGATGTGCGCGCACATCGTGGAGCAACTCGCCTGCGCCGTGCAGTGCAATCCCGGTGAGCCAGCCAGCACATTAAACCAACTCCAACCAAAGACAGTGCATATTCGACGAATCCCACTCCTTCCGTTCAACTCTCTGCGGCACTTAACTCGGAGCCTCTAGCCGCTTGCCTTCCCCCCGCCTTACCGCGCCCGTTCCCCACCTTACCCTACCGTTTCCGCCCTGTATGTCCCCGCCGTCTCGGGCCTCCGTTTCTGCTCCCGCGTTCCCGCGGGCGTGTGCGGCAGACTCTGGAAACTACTTCACGGGCAAGCCCGGCAAGTACATGCTGCACATCTGTTGGGACTACATGGATATGCTCTTCGACGCCTGCTACATGGTACAAGGTCAGACTCGCGTTCCTGGGTTACAGCGGTTCTGCTTGTTACAGTGGTTCTGCTTGTAACAGTGGTTCTGCTTGTTACAGTGGTTCTGCTTGTAACAGTGGTTCTGCTTGTAACAGTGGTTCTGCTTGTAACAGTGGTTCTGCTTGTAACAGTGGTTCTGCTTGTAACAGTGGTTCTGCTTGTAACAGTGGTTCTGCTTGTAACAGTGGTTCTGCTTGTTACAGCGGTTCTGCTTGTTACAGTGGTTCTGCTTGTAACAGTGGTTCTGCTTGTTACAGCGGTTCTGCTTGTTACAGTGGTTCCGCTCCTGCCGCGCTGTTCGACTTTCCTTTGGTATCTCTCCATCTTGATATCCGTCCGATCTCCATTCTTTTGTCTGGTTGCGGCTTGCTTATGCGCGCGCGTGCAGCGGGGGAACTCCATTTGGGCAGCTATTTTCCCTCAGCGGAGGACATGGTTCGAGGGTTGTACGTGCCGCTGGTCGCGCAGCAGATCCCCGGCTTCAACGCCATCATCGTGGTGAGCCCATTTGGGGGTCGAGCCGTGGTCATGGCACCGCTCCAGGGGAGTGAATCCGGTCGCTCACTTTCACAGCGCAGCAGCTTGCACGCGCGCTCGTTTCTCTCGCCCATGCCACGCACATGCTGTGCAACGCTGCCTCGCCAGCTTCTCCCGTGCGCCACTGCCCACTGCTGCTGCTTCAACTTGTCATGCCCACCACCCTCCTCCCACCCCACCCTCACCACCCACCACCCTGTGCAGGAGACCAACTGCTACTCCTTGGGTGACGCCTTGATCCCAGTCATCCCGCTCAGCTGCGACCCGCTCACCATCCCCGCCACCTGCCCGCCCGGTGCGGTCAACATGACGGCCGCCAAGGGCGTGTCGGGCCGCCCCCTCGACCCGGCCATCTGCGCAGGCTTCCCCTACTCCAACGCCACCCGGCCTTTCCCTGACCCTTATGATGACTTCAACGCTCCTTACCCCTACACTCCTACTCCTTTGCCTCCCACTCCTGTTCTTGTGCCCGCCTCTCCCGCCCCTGCCCTTTCTCCGCCAGCCCCCATTACCGGTGCTCCTCCCCCAAGCGCCGTGTCTCCGTCCCCCCCATCTGTGTCTCCTCCTCCCACTGTCCCCAGCCCCTCTCCTCCTCCTCCTCCTCCCCCCAAGGCTGCTGGGGCCGCCGGAGCCTCTCTGGCTGCGGCGGTTCTGCCGCTGCTGGCGGTTGTGCTGATGGCGGGGGTATGAGATTCAGGCCTGCAGGCTGAGGCAATCCAATGGTCCGATTTTGGCCAAGTAGCAAGAAAATTGATGCCTTCTTTTTATCTTGTGGTTTGCGTTACGGGTTACGGATCGTACCGTACTTGTGAATTCTTTAAAGTGTTCCCTGTATAGTCACGCTGTTGATTAAAGATGCAAGTTCATCACTAGGTGAAGAGGGTTCCTTTGCAGTGCATGCATCAATGTTCAGGTTGGCGAGAAGAGTAGAGTTTCAAAGCAATGAAATCTAGAAACACATTGTGGTAGTGGTTGTAGTAATGTAATATTATTTCCACGGGCTGACTAATTTTGGTTCAATCCCACGGAGCTTGTACCGCGTATGCACGATGTTTACTCACCACGACAAAAAACATGTTGCCCGATGTTTCTCAGTCCAGGTCACGCACCTGCTCACCTCCCCACACTTCCCACGCCAACCATGCTGGCAGCACCGCGACTCTCGCAACCCTCGCCCGTCGCCTCGCTGCTCGTGCGTGTCGCGCCCATGGCCACGCGCGCAATCAGCCTTGGGCTCCAATTCGCTACTTCCATTCCGCCAGTCCGCAAAGCCCGCACGCCTCCAACCCCGTCCTTTTCGCGTTCCCCAGGCCCTCCGCTGCGCCACTCCGCTCACGCGCGGAGTTTTTCCGCGCGTGCGCAGTCGTCGCCCGCGGAGCCGGCGGGTCGAGGCGGAGCGGACGGGCGCACGCGGGCGGGGGGCTGCGCGGGGCTGCCGGTGGTGCACCACGCGCTGTTCAGCGCGCCGCAACTGGCGGCGAGGCACCGGTTCCCGATGGGCGTGTTCGAGGCGATTCACGCCATGCTGCTGCGCGAAGGGGTGGTGCGACCCGCGCAGGCGAGTTCCGCGCGCAGTGAAGGGGCGCGGAGGGGGAAGGGAAGGGGGAAAGGGGGAAGTGGGAAGGGGGGAAAGGGGAGGGGGGTTGTTGGGGGAAAGGTGATGGGGCCAGTGGGAAGGTGCGAGTTGATTGGTGGGAGGAGCAGTGGTACCAAGAGGATGAAAGTGACGTGATGTGGTGGCTCATCTCTCAGCTCATCTCTCACCTCATCTCTCACCTCATCTCTCAGCGCCTTCGCCCTCCCGCCTGCACACTTACTCCCCCCTCTCTTCTCCTCCCCCATCCATGTTGCTTCCCATTCCTCCACCCGCTATCATCTCTCTCACTCGCCCTCCACCACCCTCTCGCCCTCCAGGTGGTCACGCCACACCCCATGCCGCCCGTTTCCGACCTGCTTCGAGTAGGTCTGTCCCTCCCCTCCTCTTCTCTCCATTCCCTCCCGTCCCTCCCGTCCCTCCCTCCCTTCCAAACCCCCTCGTGGTCTTCCTCCCCCCCCTCCTCCCCCCCCCCCCCTCGTCCATGTTTTGCTGGCTAGGTTTTCCTCGCCTGGTTGCTCGTTCTCTCCCTCCCCATCCCCCCGCGCTATTATGAATTCAGCAACCCCGACCACGCACTGCCAGCTCTCTGCACCGCCCCAAGAAGCGTCTTCCCCACACGCACGCCACACGCACGCCAACACATGGCTATGGTGCATCAACACGGCATTCTACCCCCTCGCCCTCTCCACCTTCCACACCCTCGCCCACAGCTCTTTCCTCACCTCCAAATCCACCATGCACCCTATTCCCCTTCTCCCCTTCTCTCCACTCCACCCTTCTCCACCCACCCTCTCCTCCCTCCCCCTCTTCCTTCCTCCTCCCCTCTCCCCTCCCCCTCCCCATTTCCCCCCTCCCCCCTCTCCCCTCCCCCGCCCCCTTCCCCCAGGTGCACTGTGAGCAGTACCTGGCGCAGGTCTGCCAGGGCGCGCTCCCCTCGGCTGCCATGCGCCGCATTGGCTTCCCCTGGTCGCCCACCCTCGTTAGACGAACTCTCGCCGAGGTGCGCTGGGGTAGAGGGGCAGGGGAGTTAGAGGGGGGGGCACGGGAGGTGTTGGTATGTGTGTGGGTGAGTGAGCTGCATGGGCGGCAGGGCGTTGGAGGGCGGCTGCTCCTGCGTGAAGCATGTGTGTGCAGTGTCTCACCTCCTCATGCTCCGTTGCTCTTCCATCCTGCCTCCCCACCTCGCTCGTCCCCTCCTCTCTTCCCCCCACCTCTGTCTTCCCTTGATCCCTCCTCCCACCTTTCTCCTCCCCCTCCCCAACTCTCTCCTGCCTCTTTCCCCTCTCTCCTCCCCACTCTCCTCCCCACTCGCTCCTCCCCCTTCCCCCAGGTGGCAGGCACGTTGGAGACGGCACAGCTGGCACTGGAACATGGACTTGCATGTAGCACGGCAGGAGGTAGGCTGCACTTGTTGGGCGGTGGAAGGGGAGGAGGGGTGAGGTGGTAAGGATGCTTAAAATACAGCTGACTGAATGTGATTGATATTGATTGATAGCTGCACAGGGGGGCATGGCAGTGTTACAAGGGTGAGGGGAGAGGGGGGGGAGAGGGGGGGAAGAGATCGGCACTCGCAGTGAGTTGATGTGTTGAGTGACTGAGGTAGTTTGCTTTGCAGGATGATGAGGGTGAGTATGAGGCACATTCGTCTCCTCCTCTCCCCGCTGTCTGCCCCACCTGCCTCCGCGTGTTGAGAAGTGGAGTAAGTGTGTGGAGAGGGGAGAGGGGAAGAGGGTGTTGAAGTCAGATATTTTAGGCCGGCTGGAGGGAGCACCCTGGTGGAGCTTGGGAGAAGAGTGGATGGGCTCGTGTGCGGGGCGTTGAAAGGGGATGTGGCTGTGCTGCTTTTGGATGGGTTGGAAAAGGTGGCTTGGCATGTGATTTGAGTCCAGAGGAAAGAGGGGTGGTTAGAAGGAATAGGCTGGAAGGCACGGGATGGGCAATGAGGGGATGTGATCGAGCAGTCGTGGAAAATGGTATAAAACAGGTCCTACCGAGAATTGAACTCGGCCTTTCAGATTCAGAGTCTGACGTCATAACCACTAGACCATAGGACCATGCAAGCCGATAGTCTAGAATGTCTCTCACTTTAGTGCCCCCGAAAATGCTACAGTTTCTGTACAGTGTTATCCAAACTACTCATTTCTGGTCCGGACGAGGCTTGGTCCGGATCATCGTGCGGTTGGGAACGAGCCGCACGCCGGTGTGGAACTTGGGGGCTCCGTCCTTCTCCACTCCCCTCTGTCTGCCCTACCTGCCTGTGCGTGTGAAGAGGGGAGAGGAGAACATGGTGCAGTTCAGGTATTTAAGGCCGGCAGGAGGGAGCGCTTAGCAGAGCATGGGAGATGAATGAATGGGCTCGTGTGTAGGCTGTTGAATGGCCATGGGGATGTGTGCAGGTGGTGGCAGCGCGGCTTTTGGATGGGTTAGAGAAGAAAAGGTGGCTTGGAATGTGATTTGATATGTAAAAAACCAGGTCCTACCGAGAATTGAACTCGGCCTTTCAGATTCAGAGTCTGACGTCATAACCACTAGACCATAGGACCATGTTAAGTATGAACCAGATGCTTCATTTGGTGGTGGGTGAAACACTCTCTCTCTCCACATCAATCTGCACATATCTGTGTGTATGTGTGTGCATGTGTTGATGTACGGTGCCTGTGCAGGCGTGGGTGCAGGCACCTGAGCATGTGCATGTGCATGTGCATGGCAAGGCAACATGCCCTCTCAGATGCACACCCTGTCCCTGCCTGCCATGCCAATGGATACAGCGTGGTCATAACCATTGTACATTACCCTTGTCTCTAACACCCGCCTGTCTCCAACACCCTCCCCAACCTGCCCTCCACCAGGCACGCACCACGCGTTTCGAGCCCATGGTTCGGGCTACTGCATTCTGAACGACCTTGCTGTCACGGCCGCTGCCCTCACTGTCTCCTCCTCCCTGCACCCGTCGCCACCGCCACCGCCGCCACTAGCAGCAGCGCTTTCGCCAACCCAAGAAGCATCAATGCAATCACAGACAGCATCACTGCCGCTGGTGTTACCAGCAGCACGATCAGCAGCAGCAAGTGCAGCTGGTGAGGGCGAGCAGGAGGACGACGTGTGGAGAGAGCTGCTGGAGGGAGCAGAGAGCGGTGGGAGCGAGAGGGCGGTGATGAAGAGAGTGCAGCGCGTGGCAATAGTCGACCTAGATGTGCACCAGGTGATGCTCCCTCGGATCCCCCTCCTGCTCGCTCCCTTCATCACCCCTCCTACTTGCTCTCTTTCACTCACCCCTCCTACTCGCTCCTTCTGGCCATTCTGCTCGACCCCCTGACCCCTGAATCCCCCTTTCCACCTGGTCCCTCCTTTCTCCTGCTCCAGCAGGCACGGTTCCCCTGCAGTTCCATATTCTCTCTACTCTTCCCCTCCCTGTTCCCCTCCCTCCTCCCCTCTCTTCACCTCCCTTCCTCCCCTGTTCCTCCCCAACTCGCCCCTTCCCTCCATACTCCCCACACACCCTCCCTCTGTCAATACGTCCTGCTCCCGTCCCTCCCACCAACCCCCATCCCCACACTCAACCCCTTCTCCTGACAGGGCGACGGCACAGCAGCCATACTGTCTGCATGCCCCGGCGTGTTCACCTTCAGCATGCACTGTGGAGCCAACTTCCCCTCCACCAAACAGGTGAGATGAGATTTGAGGCACCTCAACAAACCTTCAGCATGCACTGTGGCACCAACTTCCCTGCCGTCAAGCAGGTCACTCCCTCCCACATCCCTCCCTCTGCTGCACACTGCTTCTCCTCTTCCTCCTCCTTCCTTCTATCCAGGTTTGTGTTCACGATAAGGGCTGGAGAGTGATGCATGGTACTCCTACTAGGAGATGGCTCAGTTGATTAAGGGAATACTGAAAGGGTGGAATGACTGATCAACAGGCAAGTGCTGGGATGCTTCAAAGGGATCGCTTAAGTATGATGATCGAATAGTTACCACTCTTACAGTCCTCTCACTCGTGCATGGTACCTTTCGTTGCCATGTATTCTGTCTAGTAAGCTATTGAGGCCGTTCACAGCACGTGCCAACAAGGGCTATGCTTGAGTCACTTTTGAGTATTCTCAGAAGCGATACTAGCATTGCAAGGGTTGTGTAAAACTGGTGTTGGTGCCTCATCTCCGTTCCTTCCCATGCACCCGCTCGTTCACACATGCACGTTTTGACACCCCCTTGCGGAGCGTCTCTCCCATGCCATGCCATCAGAGCAGCGACTTGGATGTGGACGTACCAGAGGGCACCGGGGACGCTCAGTACCTTGCCCTGCTCGCTCACCATCTCCCCTCGGTGCGTCTGCTCCTGCTCCTCTGCTCCTCTGCTCCTCTGCTCAGTTCTATGTACCTGTGTTGCGTGTGAGCATGCTCATGTGCTGATAATTGCCTTTCCTTGTTTCCCAACTTCAGCCCCCCACACGTGCATTCACATTCCCGCTCACCCGCATACCCAATCGCCTGCACTTGCACCCGCATCTCCTCACCTCCAGGTACTCGCATCATTCCGCCCTGACCTTGTTCTGTACGATGCTGGTGTCGACCCGCACAAGGATGATGCTCTCGGCAAGTATGTGACTGGGTTCCTTCAGGTGCTGTACGATGCTGGAGTGTGCACCTATTCCATCATGAGCTTGGATGCCGACCTCACCTCGTGCTGTATACGATGCTGGTATCGACCCTCACAAGGATGACGCTCTCGGCAAGTATGCTCTCTCGCCCTCCTGCCCTCCTCCCCTGTCTCTCTCCCTTCATACGCATATGAGTATATATGTGTGCATTTGTATGTGGCGTTCTCTTTGTCTACCGACCTGTATCTTATCAGTTGTCCTCTCCGTGTCTCGCACTTCCCCCGCGCATGCTCCCTCAGTCGGTGCATGCCTCAGTTGTTCCATCATCTTGTTGTCTCTCTCCAACTCCTCTCTCGCCGCATGCCCCTGCCCATGCCCCTTGCCACGCAGGCTATGCCTCACTGATCAGGGCCTGTTTCGCAGAGACATGCAGGTAATGCTTGCTCCTCTCGAGAGTCCTCTTGTCAGGTAATGCTTGCTTGATTCTCCTCGGCTCATGTCCTCATTCACTTCTCCTACTACCTCCGTCCTACTAACGCATGCCCATCCCGTCCAAACCCCCAGCCACCCCGTTCTCTCCAACTCGGCAACGACTATCAGCCATGCGCTGTCCATGCATCCCATCTCCCCTCCTTTTACTTTACACCTGCCCTTTTCTAAGTTACTCCATTCCGTGGCATGCATGTGGATGTGATGTGCATGTGATGTGCATGTGATGTGCATGTGATGTGCATGTGGTGTGCATGTGACGTGCATGTGATGTGCATGTGATGTGCATGTGGTGTGCATGTGACGTGCATGTGATGTGCATGTGCATGTGCATGTGATGTGCATGTGCATGTGATGTGCATGTGCATGTGCATGTGCATGTGCACGTGATGTGCACGTGATGTGCATGTGCATGTGATGTGCATGTGATGTGCATGTGCACGTGATGTGCATGTGATGTGCATCTGCACGTGATGTGCATGTGATGTGCATGTGCACGTGATGTGCATGTGATGTGCATGGTACATGGTGTATGCCTGTTCACATGCACGGCACGCGCACCACCAGGTGATCGACACATGTGTGGGCATGGGGATCCCAGTGGCAGCATACGTGGGGGGCGGGTACCACCGTGATCTTCAGGTCAGCCCGGGTCTGGGGTTGGGCAGCATGGGTGCACGAGCAGGATGAGCAGCATGGGTTGGGGAAGGCAGCACGGGGTGGGACGAGCAGCACGGGCATAAGGGTGAGGAAGATCAGAGAAAGGGGTTAAGCCCATCCACATGCACCGCCATGCATGGGTGCACTGCCATGCATGGGTGCACCGCCATGCATGGGTGCACCGCCATGCATGGGTGCACTGCCATGCATGGGTGCACTGCCATGCATGGGTGCACTGCCATGCATGGGTGGACTGCCATGCATGGGTGCACCGCCATGCATGGGTGCACCGCCATGCGTTGATCATGTCGGAGCAGGATTGTACCATACCATCCACGTGCCTATGAGCTTCTGGCCTCTCCCGCTGACCTCTGCTGTGCCCAGCTGGACTATCCCTAGGGGAGTATCACCCTGCTGTTGCTCATGCCACAAGGGGTCATCCACAGGAAGCACAGGTGGAAATATCTCTCACAGGTGGTGTCTGTCCACCCACCTCTCACCGAGTACAGGTCTATCTGCCTCCCCATCTCTCACCGACCGTAGAACATGGTGGGTTTCCATTCCCAATAGCCTAATGACCACGTATCCGCCTTCCCACCTCTCACCAAGTACAGGTGCTATCTGCCTGACCCAGCCCAGCAGTGTCTGGTCTGCAAAGCATGCCCCTGCTTTCCATCTGCCAGAGCGGTCTGCTCTGCTGTCAATGCACCATGGCACAGGCTTGACGCCCGGGACAGTACACACATTTGCGCGATATCTTTCTGCAAGTCGCCAACCCTCAACCCCCAGCCCCCAGCCCGCAGCCCTCAGCCCCCCAGTGCGCAGCCCCCAGCCCGCAGCACGCAGCCTCTGCTTGGTGCACTTGCACTCGTGCTCCTTCACCTCACCCCATTGCCCCGCTTAGACTTCCTAGAGTTTGCAGCCACCCCAATGGCTGACAACTTTGTGCTCTTCCCTGCGGCCTGTTTTGTGTGCCGTAGCACAGCCTGTGTTGCATTTGCATGATGCATGTGCTGGCATGACTCGTGTACCCACCCACCCGTCCCTCCCTCCCTGGCTTACTCTACAGGTGCTGGCCCATCGGCACTGCCTCTTGCACCGAGCAGCAGCGGACGCATGGCAAGACCATGGCTTGTAGCAACCAGGCGTTTTTGTCTTCCTGAACATGTCTGGTGGGCTGGCCTGTCCGAAGTACCCTGGCCCACTGGGTAGGAACAGCTTAAAGTGTAGTTTACAAGGTAAATGAACAAGAAGTACGAATGGCATGAGAGAGGAAAGGGGATGAACGATGGGGACTTTAGCTGGGAGAGAGGCGTGGAGGGAAGAATAGTGAGACTCGGGCCAGGACTGGGACTTGGAGTGGGTGAAGGTGACAAGGGGAAGTGTGGAACTTGGAGTGGGTGCAGGGGTGGCACTGGTAAAAGAAATGCTGGGAGATGGGCTAGCGGGATGGGCTGAAGGGAACAATGGGGAGAAGGGGGGCTGGATGGAGGGGTTGACAATGACAAGAGGAAGGAGGGGACTTGGGGCTACCCTGCCACTACTGTCAGTAGGTTCAGTGTCGCTTATTCTGCCACATACCGTACCATCAAACATCCTTCACTTTTTCTACATGTACGGTAGGTACGGTACCATACCTGCCATACCAGTGGTGTTCCCAGGATCCAATTCTGGTGACAAAGGCTTGTAGCAAATGGTGCCTTTCCAGGATTACAATGATTGTACCGGTTATAGCAAATGATGCACACAACAATACCATCATACAACTTTAGCTAGCCATGTGATGATGTCTCCAATGGGTACCAAGGCAATACGCTCATATTGTTGGAGAACCTGAGATTAGAAACCACAACCACCCACCCCACCCCCTCCCCCCGCTACCACCTCCCCCGTTCCCAACGTAGTTTCTGGAACGCAATAGCTCCAATGATACGGTATGAATGAACACAAGAAACCCCACTTCAATCAACCGACCAGAATGACCACCTAGCGAATCATACCATACCAAGTGGGGTATCAACTAGGTATGTACGACATCCGCCGACTAGCGCTCTTCCGTCGCTCCTCTCCACCCCCGCGCCTTCGCGATCCGCTCGCGCCCTTTTCACCCGCTCTCCCGCTTTCAGCCTCGCTCGTTACTACATGACAACATCGAAGACACAGGCGGGCAGCGGCATGTCACACAGCTGCCAGTTGTCGGGCCTGAAGCTCTCCACGGGAAACTTGCTCAGCCAGTAAGGTACTTGCCCGACCAGCCCATTCCCGCCCAGCGCAACCGTCTTCAGTGCCACGTTGCTCCCCAGATCCGCCGATATGCTCCCCGCAAGGAGATTATGCGACAGGTCGAGATCGCGCAGCACGGGAAGCACGGCGAAGCCGTCGGGAATGGAGTCGGAGAAGGCGTTGTGGCTGAGGTTGAGGCGGTGGAGGAAGAGGAGTTGCGTGAGCGCGGCGGGGATGGGTCCCGTGAACTTGTTGCGCGAGAGGTCGAGGTCCGTGAGCGGCGCGGTGTCGACGCAGGGCGCCAGCATGGCGGGTGTGAGCTCGCCTTCCAGCCCGTTGTTCGATAGGTCCAGCACCGCCGGGCAGTTGGTCAGGATAGGGAGCGCGCCTGGTGGGGTGACGGAGCAGGGAGGGGGGAGGGTGGGGGAGGGGGGAAGGCGGGGGGGGGGGGGAGGGGGAGAAAGGGGGGGAGGAAGAAGGTGGGTTTTTGAGGGAAGGGCGGAGGGAATAAGCTGATGATGAGAATGTTACTCCATGCATGGGGCATGGAGGATGAAGCAGGAAGGGAGAGAATTCAGGACGTGTGTGTTCGCCTGGATGCCTGGCACCTACGCCACTCCTACCCTCGTTCCCTTCCCTCTCTTCCACACCCCCTCGATTTTCCCTCCTCTCCGTCCTCTCCGTCCTCCCCTTCATACCCTCACCATTACTCCCCCCTTTCCAAACCGTCCCCTCCCCCCGCCCCTCCGCTCCCCCCATGCATGGCGCACCTGAGAGGGCATTGCCGCTGACGTCCACATGCTGCAGCACGCTGGCAGACGCGAACAGCTCCACAGGCAGTGTGCCGCCCAGCTGGTTCTCCCCCAGGTGCAACCGCCGCAGCCGCGTCAGCTTGCTCACCCACGTGGGCACCCCCCCAGTCAGCTGGTTGCCCGTCAGGTCAAGGCTGGTCAACGCGGTCAACGTGCTCAGCGGCTCCAGGGTGCCGCCGATTTGATTAAAGCTCAGGTCCAGGTGCTTGGCATGTGTGCCGCCCGTTGCCGCATCGTCTACAAGGAAATTCATAGGCACAGTCTCCTGGATGGAGTTATGAGAGAGGATGATCCGCTCCGTGAGGTTCCAGTTTCGGAAGGGGTTGAGTGCGGTGAGCAGGTTGTAGCTGAGGTCCAGCACCTTCAGTGGGGCCCTGCCTCCGTCTGCAAACGCCGCTGCCACCACGCCGTCAAACCTGTTGCTCTGACCGTACAGCGCGTCTTGGGCGGTCACTCCAAGCGACCCGCTGAAGGCGTTGTGGCTCAGGTCCAGGTGGCGCAGCGGCAGCGCGTTCAAAGTGGTGGGCACGGTGCCGGCCAGCCCGTTCCACGCCACGTTGAGGTGCGTCAGGTTGCCCAGGTTCTGCAACATCGTTGGCAGCACCCCTGACAGCCCGTTGTGCGACACGTCCAAGTGCTTCATGCTGTGGGACAGCGCGACCGGGGTGCGGGGGAAGGTGCCGCTGAGATAATTATGCTGCAGGTGCAGCTCCTCTAGGGATTGCATATTGAGGATGGCAGCGGGGATGTGCTTGCGCAGCTGGTTGCGGCTCAGGTCCATCACCTGCAGCCCTGTCATGTGGGTCAGCCCCGCCGGAATGACCCCCCCAATGCGGTTGCCCGCGAGCCTCAGGCTCACCATGCTGTGCAGCGTAGTGAGCCCCGAGGGGATCGTGCCGGTGAAGCGGTTGAAGCTGAGGTCGAGGCTGCGCAGGGACTTGATGCGGGAGAGGGATTTGGGGATGGTGCTGCTGAGGCGGTTGAAGCTCACGTCGAGGCTCTCCAGCTTGCGCATTTGGAAGACGGACCTGGGCAGGGAGCCCCACATGCGGTTGTGCGCCAGGTCCACATGGCGCAGCGTGTGGGAGAAGCTCCTGGGTTTCCTGGGCAGCCAGCCCAAGAGCCCTGCGTTGCGCAGGCGCAGAGTGTGCACGGCGGGCATGCGGAAGAGGTATTGCGGCACGCGCGTGCTCAGGCGGTTGAAGCTCAGGTCCAGCGCCGTGAGGTGCTGCAGCTTGGTGAGCGTGCTGGGGATGGCGCCGCGCAGGCTGTTGCAGGAGAAGTTGAGCGCCCTCAGGCTGCCCAGCGAGCCCAGCGCCGAATGGAGCGTGCCGTCGAGCATGGATTGGGCGGGCGGGTCGGCGCATTGCGAGAATTCGATCTGCACCACGCGGTCGTTCTCGCAGGTGATTCCTCCACGCTCGCACACTGGAGGCAGGGACCCGCCGCTTGTGTACGCGCCGGCGGCTTGAAATATTGCGTTCACGGCTGAATTGTCGTCCGCCCGCGTGGCGAGGACCAGCAAGGAGAGAAGGAGCGGGAGGAGAGCGGTGAAGGGAAGGTGCGTTGGAGCCATTGGGTTCAGGTGGTGGTTGCACGCACTGGCGAGGAGGTCAGATAGAGAGGAGGGAGGTGACTGGCGACGTTTAGCTCTGGATTCTCTGTCGTGGTGAGAGTTGGGTGAGAATGGAGATGTCTAGTACGAGTTGTGTCAGAGGATTTGGGTGTTTGTGAGTGAGTGTCGGGATGTTGGAGGAGATTCGAGGTTTTATGACGAACAACTTGCCTTAGCCTGCTAGGTTCATATTCACGCCGAGGGCGCTGCTCGGTAGAAGTCCAAGAAAGCAAGCTTTCGGCGTCTCTACATCGCGCTGCGATCAAGAGTCGCGGCGCGTGTAAGTGGTGCAACCGTACTAACCAGAGCGCGTGGATCCACATGGTAAGCTGTGCCTCGCTGGATGCTAGCGGGCATGGATGTGAGTGAAAATGCTCTTAGCTGGCTAGGGAAAGAGTCCGCATGCTCGCAATTTCTCAACCACTGCGTTGGTGTGTGATAAGAAAGTGTGAGACGCGGGCGGTATGCTTGGAGCATGATGCGACAGAGGGGATTTGTTGTCACTCGGCGCTTGAAGCTGTTTGCGATCTCTTGCTGGTCAATAAGGGGCACCCTGTGTGGAGTGCATGTCCCGCCATGTCAGCATGCCCCTCGCGCTGGCAGTGCCCCTGACCGAGACCGCGGGGCTCATGTCTTGGGGAAGGGGTTTGCCACCTCGGAGCACATGCCATGCGAAATCGTTTCGCGGAACGTGTGTGTTCGTGGCAGTTTGTTGTGACGAATTGCGCCAGCTGGTTACATTCCGCATGGTAGACTTCATGGTCATTGTTCAACTTCCACTTCGGCCCTGTTCAACAGGGTTGGCCAAGCCTATTGAGGAACCCCTCCGTTGCTTTCTTTGAAATGCAAACATAGTGATGCCCGAAATTCGGGAATCGAACATAAAGACTCCCACCTGTTCTCACATCATAGTGATGTCCATCGCATAAACATTCTCCCAAAGTTCGCCTTACAGCCCGTAGAGCATCTCCCCTGCCCTCCATTGCACGAGAAGCACGTTGACGATGGGGCGCGCGGTTACTCTGTTGTCGAGCTCGTGCTCCAGCTGTTCGTTGCTTCGGCGTCGCGATGAATTCTTGGTGCGCGCCTCGATGTCGAGTCGAGCTCCTGCTTCTCCCTGGCTGCCGACATTTCTCCTTCTGGAAGGAATTCCTATTTCTGCTCCGATCCCGAACTGTGATCTCATCAGCTCACTTTCGCACGCAGTCTTCACACACACACACTTTTCCATCTACCGCAGAGAAGGCTTTCTACGTTACCGCTAGCCTCCTAGTACTGGATGCAATTTTCCCAGTCCCTCTCCTGGTCGCAAATCAATCTCTCTGTTGGTCCGCGCTCATACGGTATTATATACTCGGAGACTTCCAAACCAACAAGCAGACAGCGTTCGAAGCACCGCTGCTAGTAGGAGCATGGTATCGTCAGAGCAGTCACAAAACCGCCCGCTGCTGCTGGCAGCGGCGCTCTTCCTCCTCTCCATGCGCATCGTGCACTGCCTCAGGCTGCATCCCGACGCGATGGCTCTCCTCGACTTCAAGAGCGTCATGGGCGCATTTCCTCACGTCCTGGGATCCCTTAACTCCCTTCTGCTTGTCGTGGGACGGCGTCGGTTGCGACGACAGCCTGCGCGTGTCGTCGCTCAAGTTATCAGCGTGCGCCACGTGGCCCCCAAAGATCAAGCTACAGGGCTCATTGGACGCCGCCACGAGCCTGGGGGACCTCAGCGAGCTCGTGGCTATCGACCTGTCGTGCAACGACTTCACCGGCACTTTTCCCTGGGAGATCGGGAAGCTTTCGAAGCTCAATCTGCTGCGCCTGCGGAACAACAAACGCTTGGAGGGGCCCATTCCCGAGAAGATCCTCACCATGCCGAAGCTCGAGACGCTCGACCTTTCCAGCACGAATCTCACCGGGAGCCTGCCCACAAAGGAGGGGTCGTTCGCGTCGCCGCTCAAGAACCTCGACCTGTCGTACAATCACTTGACGCTCGACATTCCCGAGGAGATGAGCGCGCTTTCGGGCCTCCGGTACCTCAACCTACGCGCGAATCGCTTCGAAGGTTCCACAGCGCCCATCGCGCTTTTGTACATGAGCAGCCTCACCTTCCTCGACATTTCCAATAATATTTTCACTTTCGAACTGCCGTCTTCGCTCGGGTTCAACTTGTCCAGCCTCGTACACCTGGCGGCCGGCAACAACCAGCTGGCCGGCAGCATTCCGGACTCTTTCACGCTGCTCACGGCACTCACATTCCTGGAACTCGGCTATAACGCCCTCTCCAGCTCCCTCCCGTCCTCGCTACTGAGTCTCCCGCGTCTCTTCGAAGCGCATCTGGGGCACAACTCCCTGGCAGGTAGCTTCCCCGCGGGCACGCCCACCACCAAGCTGAGCTCGCTGGACCTCTCCTGGAACGAGTTGCGCGGCGCGCTGCCGACGTTCATAGCCAGCAGCACGAAACTATCGTACCTCGATCTGAGCCACAACCACTTCACTGGGGCCATCCGTCCCGAGTGGAGCTCGCTGGTCAGTCTCCATCACATCAACCTGGGCTTTAACGACCTGACCGGGTTGATCCCCACCGCGTTCCAGTCTCTCACGAACCTCTATGCGTTCTACGCGCCGCACAACCGCCTGTCCGGACCCGCTGTTGGCGCGTTCGCAGCGCGCGGCGACCGCGGCGACACGCTCTTCTTCCTGGACCTGAGCTACAACCGCCTGACCACCGACAACCTGCAGCGCTTCGCCACGCTCTTCAACTTCATGGACGTCAACCTGTCGCACAACGACCTGCGCGGCTCCGTTCCGCCGCGCATGTTCCAGGATGTGTCCCCGTACATGCTGGACCTGAGCTACAACAAGCTGCAAGGAGGCTTGGATGGATTCATGGCGCTCACCAACCTCCTCACCTTGAACCTCGCCAAGAACCGTCTGTCTGGGACGATTCCAGCAAAGATAAGCGATCTCGCGCAGCTGCAGCGGCTGGTGCTGAAGCGTAACGCGCTGTCCGGGAGCGTGCCCGAGGCGGTGACGGCGAGCAACGGACTGGTGAAGCTGGACCTGAGCAACAACAGGCTGTCGGGTGAGTGTGTGACTTGTCAGCAAGCAGGTAATTTTCGCGCCTTGGAGTCACGCAGTTTCGTGGCCAATAAAATTTGCGGGAAACCTGTTCGCAGATTTCCCAACTTCATCGCTGGCAATCAGCAGGAAACCAGTATCGGCAGAAAACCCATTCGCAACCTGCGAGCGAACAAAGATGTGCGATGGTCGCATCACGGGTCGCGCGGCACGGCAGATGTTGTTCACTGAAGGGTTGAGTTCACTCCGTCACTCGTTCCGCGTGTGCTCAGTTATCTCGAGTGCCTTGTGCCCATCCAGAATCTACTACCCTCGTTGTCATTCACTCGAGCATTCAAAACCCCTTTTCCCTCCCCATCCACCCGCCCACTCCCCCCTCTCTTCCTCCAGGCAAGCTGCCAAATATCAACAACTGTCCCAAGAGCTGATCCTGGCGAACAACATATTCACCGACGATCTTCCCACCCTCGACTCGTGCGCGGGCGTGGCGGAGCGCATGGACCTGTCGTACAACCAGCTGTCGGGCGCCATCCCCACCATCCTCTCGCAGTTCTCCTTCCTCACCCACCTCTCGCTCTCTCACAACGCCCTGAACGACACCATTCCCGAGGGAATCGCGGATTTGCGCAGCCTACGCGTGCTGGACCTCTCGTGGAACCAGTTGCAAGGGTCTGTTCCCGCCGGGCTTGGGCTGTCCGAGGCGCTACAAGAGGTGTACCTTGCTGGGAACCAGCTGGATGGGATCATTCCTGAGACCATGGCAACTTACCCTGACTCGTCTTTCTTGCCCGGGAATGAATTGCTGTGTGGCGAACCTGTGAAGCAGTGCTTAGAAGATGACGTAGTATTTAAGTGAGGCGCCAGCACCCGAGCTTGCGAGCTTCTCACCCCATCCCTTCCCCGTTCAATTCTCCTTCGTTTGGCCTGTTTTGCCCTTTAGCATGTTATTCCTTGTCGCACATCCCGTTGGAGTTCCTTGGTATGTGATTAGCAGCGTCAGGGCTGGTAGGTGGATCACTAATCACATATATGGCGCAGTGTGGAGCAGTGAAGCTACCTATGTGGCTTGTATCCTTGTCTATATATACCTCCCATGTACAAAGTACCTGACTGTAATAGCTCGAAATGGTACTTTGACGCAGATGATACCACCCCTGCTACCGTATCATGTTGCACACGACTCAGACCAATGCTCCTACGGTATGATACCGTGCAAACATCCCCCTCACCGTCATAGTCTGGGGAGGGAAGCCTTTGCTGAAATCTGGCAAACTCTTTTGAGATGATGCAGGACGCAACACAGAATCCGTTCTCACTGCACTGCACGGTTACTAGTTGGGTTGGGTTCCCCCGCTACGGTTAATGGCAGCAAGAAGCCCTAAGATCAACCCCAGTTCTTACGAGATGGGGTTACCGGTGGTACCGGTAGTACTAGCAGGCCTACCTACGCTGCCCTTCCACATAGCGTGACTCTGCTGACACATCATCCCCCCCCACTTAAACCCGTGACATAACTCACCCTAGGAGCTGTCAGAATCAACTGTGCAGGAATGGTTGGATTATCAAGAGTTGGGGTACAAGTACTAACTTTAGAAATGTTGTACCCCATAAGGAGTGCTCCACTATAGCCTACAAGTAAGATTGTACTTTGACACACCCCCATAGGCTAAGTCGGGGACAACAAGACGGTCACAAGACCAGTCAGGCAAGACAACAGAGCAAAGCACAGCAAAGCTCAGGGTGGATCTCAAGGACACCACACAATCTGAGCACAAGCAAGCGGCCACAAGGCCAGTTCACATGCAGAGTTATAATAGCAAGGCAGTACACTGATCACAACCTACCAAGAGTAAACATGCAGGTATAAAGATATATATCAGTGTACAACAAGTGCAAGTCAAGCAATCAGCAGGTGAGACAGAGTGGGCACAAGCCCAAGAGCAGTGCAGAAACGCTGATGATCACCAGACCCAAGGGCCTTGGTGAACACATCAGCAGTGTTGGCCCGCGAGGCCACGTAGGAAAGGCGGAGCTGACGACGCTGCTGCAGCTCACGCGCAATGAAGTAGCGAAGAGCAATGTGCTTCGTTATGTGCTCCAGTCTCTGCTCGCGACACAAGGCAAGCATTGCCTTGTTGTCGACGTACAGAACTGGAGGAGAACGAGGCCGCTCACCCAAGTCGTTCAGCAGGTAGGTCAGCCAGCGTAACTCCTGTGCAGCCATGGCCCTAGCGTAGATCTCGGCCTCACAGCTGGAACCAAGCACAAAAGACAAACGAGTGGACCTCCACGAGACAGAACCAGAGCCAAGGCTGAAGCTGTAACCCTGTGACGACCCCTGAGTCGCCTGGTCGTCGGCCCAGGAAGCGTCTGAGTGACCTGTGACTACCACTGAGTCCCGTCCTCCAAGCACAAGCCCCATGCCCGATGTACTGCACAAGTAACGCAGTACCCTCTTAGCAGCTTCCCAGTGCACCTTTCGGTGTCTACCGGGAGCCACGTAGCGAGCCAGGAGGCTGAGAAGGTACGCGAGGTCAGGTCGTGTGCACGTCATCAAATACATGAGGCAACCCACTAGCTCTGGATACGGACCACTCGGCTCTACGGACTCGTCCGAAGGTGGAGCTGAAAGCGAGTGGCCAGTAGGCAGAGGAGTGGGTTGTGGCGAGGACCACGTGAAGACGAAGCGCTAAAGGACCTGGTGCACCATGGTGATGGTACGCCGTGCTCTGTCCCGGGTGATCTGCAAGCCAAGATAGCTCCGCAGCTCACCCAGGTCAGTACAGGTGTGTCTCTCCTGCAGCTCCGCCTTCACTAAGGCCAGAGCCTCAGTGTCAGCAGTAGCAAAAACCAAGTCGTCAACGTACACGAGAACGTAGAACGGCGGCAGAGAAGTGTCGGTGCGCAGAAACAGCGACGGGTCAGCAGTCGAAGGAGCAAACCCAAGAGCCGAAAGTGTCGTCGTGCCACTCGCGAGGTGCCTGACGCAGGCCGTACACTGGCCGCCGTAGGCTCCACTGGGTACCCTCAGGAAACGACCCAGTGAAGCTAGGTGGACGGCGCAGCCAGATGGCCTCGTGAAGGCTACCCTGCAAGAAAGCTGTCGAGAAGTCGAGGGAGTGCAGCTCGTAATCACGCTGAGCTGCAACGTGTAGTAACACCCGAAGAGTGGTCATCTTCGGGGTGGGGGAGAAGGTCTGAAAGAAGTCGACCCCCTCACGCTGACTGAAGCCTCGAGCAACGTAACGTGCCTTGAAGGCAGGCGGAGAACCCGGCGGCTGCTTCACCCTGAAAATCCACATGCCACTAATGATGTTCGCCCACGGAGGGGGAACCTCGCCGACGTAGGTGCCTGTGGACTTCCAGGAAGCCACCTCTGCGTCCATGGCTGTCTGCCACTGAGAGGAGTACTCACCCGAGATCGCCTCTCTGTTAGAGTGCGGGGTGGGGATGTCAAGTGCATCCGGGTCTCCCTCAGGGGCAAGCAGCATGGTAGCGAGATGAGGTACAGCGGCTGCAAAGCACTCCAGCTCCTCCTGCCTGTCCTCAAGAACGTCAAAGCCAAGGGCAACCTCACCCCCGACGGACGGAGGACAGGCAGGGTCAGGGTCAGAAACAAGACTCGCAAGGTAGTCTGGGCGGTACGCAGCAGCAAAGTCAACTAGCTCAGCGACTAAGGCAGACGCAGTAGGAGACGAGAACGTAGGGTCCGTCACAACTGTAGCAAGAAAGCGAGTGACATTCGGACTGGAAGCACGAGCAAGGTCAGACGGAGGGTCAGCAACGTCAGGAAGAGAAGACGCAGGAGGTGACGGCAGGACAACACGCTGTGTAACAGAGGAAGGACGGAGTGTCATATCGTGAGTGCCTGGGACAGCCGGAGCACGAGGACGACAGACACGACGAACACGAGCAGGAACTGAAGCTCTAGTCTCAGTCTCTCGACGCTCAGGAGTGGAAGCACGAGTCTCAGGCTCTCGACACTCAGTCAGGGACTCTGTCACCTCAGTGTAAGGAGCAGGAGCAGGCAGTGGGTAGTGAGGCACTAGCTGTGGCTGAGACTGGTCTGCCGGTGGGAACAGTAACGGAGGAGTAGTACCAGCGACAGGGAACTCAGTAGCAGCTGGCGGAAGACCGAGAAGGTGGCGAAGCGCACCAAGAGGTCCAGCACCTCCAGCACCAGCAGCACCTCCAGCACTCCCAGCAGCACCTCCAGCACCTCCAGCACCAGCAGCACCTCCAGCACCCCCAGCAGCACCTCCAGCACCTCCAGCACCAGCAGTACCTCCACGACTAGAAGCTCCAGGACCTCGAGCACCAGCAGCACCTCCAGCACCTCCAGCAGTACCTCCAGCACCTCCAGTACCAGCAGTACCTCCAGGACTAGCAGCTCCAGCACCTCCAACAGGACCTCCAGCACCTCCAGCACCAGTAGGACCTCCAGGACTAGCAGCTCCAGCACCTCCAGCACTAGCAGCACCTCCAGCACCTCCAGCAGTACCTCCAGCACCTCCAGCACCAGCAGTACCTCCAGGACTAGCAGCTCCAGCACCTCCAACAGGACCTCCAGCACCTCCAGTACCAGCAGTACCTCCAGGACTAGCAGCTCCAGCACCTCCAGCACCAGCAGCACCTCCAGCACCTCGAGCAGTACCTCCAGCACCTCCTGCACCAGCAGTACCTCCAGTAGTACCTCCAGCACCTCCAGCACCAGCAGTACCTCCAGGACTAGCAGCTCCAGCACCTCCAACAGGACCTCCAGCACCTCCAGCACCAGCAGCACCTCCAGCAGTACCTCCAGCAGTAGCAGCTCCAGTACCAGCAGCACCGTACCCTCCACCACCAGGACTGCCTCGCCGAACGATCCACGCATGAATCTGCTGCGGCGAGAGCGTCTCGAGTAGACCAGGCTGCTGTGGCTGTCCAGCTCCAGGACCTCCAGCCGGGTCACCCACAGCTCCACCACCACTAGGACTCGCAGCACCCCCAGAGTCAGCACCTCCTGTCGCAGCACCCCCAGAACCCTCACCCTCTGTCTCAGCACCCCCAGAACCCTCACCCCCAGTGTCATCACCAGCAACAGCTCCAGAGTCCACAACAGCAGGCTGCTGAGGCGGCGAAGACGGCCTCGGCGAAAAACCAGGGGGGGTCTCCAAGCGAGGAGAGCGACGAGTGGCCGCCGTGCCATCCGCGGCGGGGTCACCCCCCTCAGCTGGGCCAGAGGAGTCAGAAGAGATCTCCACAGGCTCATCCAAGGGGGGTGGGTCTACCTGAGACACACTTGAGGGAGCAGGACCCTGTGGGGGGAGTGGGTCTACCGGGGGGGGGACTGGTACCAGGAAGAGAGGCGCTAGGGGGACCGGGTGGGACGCGTGCGGGTGTAGCCTGTAGAAACAGACCGACTCGTCAAAGGTGACGTCATGGGAGGAGAAGACTCGACGCGAGCGCGGATGGTAGAACTGCCACGGCGGGGCGTCGGTGGGGAAGCTAAGGAAGACACAGCGGAGAGTACGATAGGAGAGCTTGCTCGCTATGGCATCGCGAACAAGGGAGAGCGCGCCCCAGACCCGAAACACCGACGCATCGCCAACCTTCCCCTCCCACCGGAGTGTGGGCGAGGTCTCTGGCTCAGAGACACGGGGCCAGAGGTTGAGCTGATGCGCTGCGTATCGGACCGCAAACGGCCACAGAAAATGGGGAGCAGCCGCATGGATCATGGAGGTACGAGCAACCTCCATGATCAAGCCAATGCGATGCTCAGCAATCCCATTTTGTTGAGAAGAGTCCGGAAGCGTGAATGTCTGGCGGATGCCCTCGTCTCGACAGAACTCCTCAAGGAGGCCAGAAGAGAACTCA